GATGGAAACTGGGCGCGGAGTGTTCTACGGTCCGATTCAGAAAACATTCCCGCTTTCCTCTCAAATAAACTAAACGACTGGTTGCATGCTTGGAAGCACATATTAATCTTTGCAGAAATGTCGAATCTCTAACGTGACCGTAAATTTTTTATTAGTGTAAATCTCGAGTCTTATTATATAGTGATCGATAGACGGAGCGATAGATAAGTCTTTCATCACGTTCGATCGTTTTCACGAGGAAAGACGATTTACATTCGAGTCAGATGAGCCGCGAGTTTGCGGACCGACGCTTTTCGTCGTGATCGCGTAATTTCGATTCGCACAGAGAGAGAGAGAGAGCGAGCGAGAAAGAGAATTTCGTTCGTTCGCTCATCCGACTCGGCAAAAGCTTTCGACGATAGCATATGAAGCAGCCTGTACGCAGAAGCGCGTTGTAGTGGGGAGCGTGGGCGAGCGGGAGAACGGTGTAAGGGGGTAAGGGCGGTAAGGGGGAACAACGCGGTGTGCGCTGCTGGCGAACGACGGCGTGGATCGGCGAACGGGGAAGCGCGGCGACGGGAGAAGGACATTGAGCGCGTAGTCGGACAAGGAGGGAAGGCATTACTCGTGCATGGGGCGTTACCACGGAAACCCCTATTCGTTCTCCATCCCTTCGCTCGCTCGTCAGGCAGCGCGAGAGAACGAGGGAACGAGAAATGCGGTGGAGGGACGAGGGGGGAAGTGGAGAGGGAGACGGTGACAGAAATAGAGGGACCGAAAGGACGACCGACAGAGAAAAAGGACGAAGCGCGAGAGGAAGAAAGAGAGTAGAGAGAGGAGCGAGTTGGCCGCGCACAAGTCGGTAGAAGCAGGAGAGAACGAGAAAGACAGAGGGAATGGGAAAGCAAGAGAGAGAAAGGAGTAATTGTGCGAGAGAGAGAGAGAGAGAGAGAGAAAGAGGCAGGGAGGGAGGAAGAGCGAGCGATATAGGGCTCGACGGTGGGTGGGAGCGAGAGAAGCGGCAACGCGATATCGAGAGGGGGATGGGTGATGAACGGAGCGAGTGAGAGTAGGATGGAGAACGAGAGGATACATGTTAGAGGAAGATAGCCGGCAAATGCGGAGCCGCCAGTGCAATCAACCCGTTGCCCACTCGCGAGGGTAAAACTATCCCGAAGTCAGACGAGGATACGTATATTGCGGAGGGAGCTTTGTCGCTATATACGTATATATTTTATATATGTATATGTATGTGTGTGTGTTTGGTGTACCATTTTATGCCACTTTACAAAGTACAAATTTCGCTTTTGCACTTTGAACACATTATGATTTTGTTATGACTTTCAAGTGGTCTGCAATTCTTTAGAAGTTTAAACATTCAAAATAGCTTAAATTTACATCCTTATAGATCTAACTCATTTAAAACTTATGAGTAATAAACAGTTTCTTAACATAAAATGAAATTTATTAAATAATGCACACGTAGAAAGCTCGGTATCCCTCTTCTTTGACATTTACAATTAAACTATTTCGAATATTCCAGAGGCGGCGGTATGATGTTTAAATACATGTTGGCTAAATTGAATTGATCACAGTAAGGTGTAGAAAATGATAAATAAGTATCCGCAAATAGCAGAGCTCTTGCGCAACACGCGGGTTACTTTCCTGAAAATCATTCGTGCGAGATCTACTTTTTTGTCGTATTTTATAAATTAAATATAAAAAGGAAAAATAAGTTGCTAATTTATGATCAATTTAATAAGAAAATACTATGATGATTTCTGGATGATTAAATCATTATCTCCTACACATTGCTTCTCAAAAATGGAGCAGTTAAAGGTGAAGCGGTGAAAAAAAAAAAGAAAAAAACGAATACGTTATTATATGCGATTTGCTTAAACTAGCGTTTGCATCTCACCGAGAATTTCTTTGTCTAGATTAAGCATTGCTCGTTTCGTCAATTTCTTGTTTTAGATATCTATATACCCTTTTATATTTGCATTTTACGTACTGGCATTATATAGTAAAAAATATACAAGATAAAACTCACAAAAAATATGCTCTAAGAAGAATAATATTCCAGGAAAGGCAACTTAGAAATTTAGCTTACGCACTTTCTATCCTCTTATATTCTTATAACGCGACATAAAATAAAATAGTTTTCTAGATTTTGTTCGAAAATACGAAGAAAATACAAAAGAGAAGGAAATTCTTGAATTATATTTCGAATCAATGGAATAGATTTGTCTTAAATGTTAGAATTTTTATGAGACGATATACTTTGCGTCACAAAATCTTCGGGTAAATTAAAAATGTGACATCGCTCTTTTTTCTAGCACAATATTAATGGCAAGCTCCACATTTTGAATATTCTGAATACAGACACAGCATAAAAGGGGAGTGTGTAGGCAATCTTTCTCGATACCAATAATACGTTACGAGTGTTAAATGTTACATCATGCAGAACATAATATGGTACCTCTTGGGATGTAACAATTATATACAGATTTTACGTGATAGGATAAAAGCCGGTATATTTCTCACACAAAAGTCACGTTTTCCTAATAAAATAAAATAAAAAAAAAGAAAGAAATAGTTTATTAGAGAGAATTATCAGAGACACAATAATATTAGGTACAATGTATGTGCATTTTATAATCAAACATTCTCGAAGTCTAGGCGAAAATCCGTACTGAGTGACGCCAAAGTAAGCATCGGGCCAATAAAACTTTTACAAATTCGAATCGAGGAACTATTTTATCGCTCTTCCATGATGCATAAAATAGCACTGCACATTTCACGACAATCTTATAATTCATCGTATACAAAGCTTGGATTTACCTTCCGATATCGTTCTCGCAGTATTAAAATTGCATAGTTTTAATCTGGCTGAAGAAACGAATACATAAAAGCATTTTCCAACCTTTAGTATATCAGACGTCATTCTCTTACTATACAGAGTCGTATATAAATTATTATAAGTGGCTGCCTAATTTAATTTCTTCTTCGTGTGGTGGAAATTTAATTGTAAATCTTAATGGCCTTTTCGAGGTAGTTGATACGAGAGCGCTTTGGCGCTTTGTTGACATGTTCCAGGCCAAGCCAAGGCCTGTGTGGCGATGTGCCTGCGTTTAAAAGTGGATAGACTACAAAATTTATTCTTCATCAGCATCATATTACAATGTACTATGTACTAAATATAGTGAGACTATGCGATTATTCGACGCTCACTTTATTCGCATGCGTTAGAAAATGGAGAATAGAAACATAATTTATACTTACTCTGACCGGAAAATCTAGGAAGGAAATCGTCGACTTTGATACAACAGTCCGGCGAGTCGATAATGAACTGTGGCTTGCCCATTGACACCACCGCGAACTTAAACTTCAAAGTTTTTTTATGAATTCTCATAAGAGATCAAAAAAGATTAGCTAAGGATGCCTACCTTTTCGAATTCTTTTTCCTGTACTCCTAATTTCTTTAGCAATCTATCCTTCATTTTTTGAAAAGGTTCACCCTATAAAGTACAGCGTTACAATTATTAAAATGCATCGTGTGTTACGTGTGTATATATATATATATATATATATATGTATAATGCACGAGGAGTCTTGTTATACGCTTTAATATTTTATATCGCGCTCTGTCTCGTCCAATAGCGTTACAATTATAATTGGGATTGATGCTTGATTCTTGAGCGCGTTAAAGTTGTAAAATTATTCCGACAAGAGAGAAATTTTTTTTTAAATAATTAAAAATCCTTGTCTTCTCTATAAACGAGCGGCATAAATTTGCTCGCGCAAGCATTAGTCGATATTAAGTATATTTAATTTTCGAGCTGTATCAGAAATTAGAATTTTACATTCTACCGCGAAATACATCGCGGAATACCCCACAGCGTATCGCTGACGGATTAAGACGCGCGAATCCACCCTGTGGATATCGTGAAACCTGGTCGCACGGACGCCTCTGTTCCTGCGAGTAGAAAGTCCACCGGTAGAGGTATTTCGTTCTACGCCGAGGCAACGCGGCGACTTCCCGCCGTGGCGAGGTGAGGCGAGACGAGCTGAAGCGAGGCTGAGCTGAGGCGAGGCGAGGCGAGGTGAGACGAGACGAAACGAGGCGAGGCGAGGCCTCGGAGCGTGGGTATCAGCACGGAACCGAGTCTACAACGCATTAGCGCGGCGTTGTCACGTTTCGAGGTTCTCTCTCTCTTTCTCTCTCTCTCTCTCTCTCCCCCTCCCTCCCTCCCTCTCCCTCTCCTTCTCTCTCCCTTTTTCTTTTTCTTCGCCTGTCTCCGTCTCTCCTTGAAGCCTGTTCCTTTCCCTCCCTCGCTGTCCTCCTTCACCCCGACGCCTCGCGCCTAGCAGTGCCGACTCGTTCTTTCTCTCGACGCCTCTCACCGTCTCTCGCCGCGCGACGTTGCTGATTCGACTGGCGGGAAAACTGGCTCTTCAAACGGATTTTCCCGCGACACGGCACACGATTCACGGTTTCTCGCTATTATACTTTGTCTTGCCGTTTTGTATACGCTCGTGGTCTGACTATATCGGTATTGCCAGCATTTGACGAACGTTATCGACCGTCATCAACTTCGCAGCCGGGCGCGGCGAAAATCTCGGGGTCGCTTCTATATTTTAGCAAAGATTTATTCTAGAGCTAGAGAATTTTACTCGAAAATGTGTTATCCCACATTCTCGTAAACAATAGAAATAACAACCGACCGCAATTCGCGGAGAAAGCGATAAACGCATTCGTTGTATTTACGACGCATTTTCTACGCTAAAGATGCGTTATCTCCTGTATCTTTTAGAACCGTGCTCTATCATTTAGAATTTAATTATACTTTGCTTATTTTCACATCGAAAATAGGCAAGTTTTTATATCGCAAAAACACCACTTTAATATGGTCACGATATTTAACAATATATAAATAAATTCTTTCATAATAATATATAAATACTTTCTTAAAAATTAAAATAAATATAGATTTATAATCTTTTTTTATTTCTGTTTTCAGCATAAAACCAATGAAAGGGAAGATGTTTTGGGCCTAAAGGTAAGCTAATTTTATAATGCAAATACATAATATATAATACTTCTCATTTAACAAACGATATATATATATATATATATATATATGTATAATGCACGAGGAGTCTTGTTATACGCTTTAATATTTTATATCGCGCTCTGTCTCGTCCAATAGCGTTACAATTATAATTGGGATTGATGCTTGATTCTTGAGCGCGTTAAAGTTGTAAAATTATTCCGACAAGAGAGAAATTTTTTTTTAAATAATTAAAAATCCTTGTCTTCTCTATAAACGAGCGGCATAAATTTGCTCGCGCAAGCATTAGTCGATATTAAGTATATTTAATTTTCGAGCTGTATCAGAAATTAGAATTTTACATTCTACCGCGAAATACATCGCGGAATACCCCACAGCGTATCGCTGACGGATTGAGACGCGCGAATCCACCCTGTGGATATCGTGAAACCTGGTCGCACGGACGCCTCTGTTCCTGCGAGTAGAAAGTCCACCGGTAGAGGTATTTCGTTCTACGCCGAGGCAACGCGGCGACTTCCCGCCGTGGCGAGGTGAGGCGAGACGAGCTGAAGCGAGGCTGAGCTGAGGCGAGGCGAGGTGAGGTGAGACGAGACGAAACGAGGCGAGGCGAGGCCTCGGAGCGTGGGTATCAGCACGGAACCGAGTCTACAACGCATTAGCGCGGCGTTGTCACGTTTCGAGGTTCTCTCTCTCTTTCTCTCTCTCTCTCCCTCCCTCCCTCTCCCTCTCCTTCTCTCTCCCTTTTTCTTTTTCTTCGCCTGTCTCCGTCTCTCCTTGAAGCCTGTTCCTTTCCCTCCCTCGCTGTCCTCCTTCACCCCGACGCCTCGCGCCTAGCAGTGCCGACTCGTTCTTTCTCTCGACGCCTCTCACCGTCTCTCGCCGCGCGACGTTGCTGATTCGACTGGCGGGAAAACTGGCTCTTCAAACGGATTTTCCCGCGACACGGCACACGTTTCTCGCTTTCTCGCTATTATACTTTGTCTTGCCGTTTTGTATACGCTCGTGGTCTGACTATATCGGTATTGCCAGCATTTGACGAACGTTATCGACCGTCATCAACTTCGCAGCCGGGCGCGGCGAAAATCTCGGGGTCGCTTCTATATTTTAGCAAAGATTTATTCTAGAGCTAGAGAATTTTACTCGAAAATGTGTTATCCCACATTCTCGTAAACAATAGAAATAACAACCGACCGCAATTCGCGGAGAAAGCGATAAACGCATTCGTTGTATTTACGACGCATTTTCTACGCTAAAGATGCGTTATCTCCTGTATCTTTTAGAACCGTGCTCTATCATTTAGAATTTAATTATACTTTGCTTATTTTCACATCGAAAATAGGCAAGTTTTTATATCGCAAAAACACCACTTTAATATGGTCACGATATTTAACAATATATAAATAAATTCTTTCATAATAATATATAAATACTTTCTTAAAAATTAAAATAAATATAGATTTATAATCTTTTTTTATTTCTGTTTTCAGCATAAAACCAATGAAAGGGAAGATGTTTTGGGCCTAAAGGTAAGCTAATTTTATAATGCAAATACATAATATATAATACTTCTCATTTAACAAACGATAGTTTTTTATTTTGGGATTTATATTTGTAAACTTTTGCGAATAAAATAAAAAAGAATTCGCAGTAATATAGGAGGTATAGTAAAGATTTTTGGGGCATTCTAATAAAAAAACTATGTCTATTATCTTTTGTGTCACGCGTGACACTGATAGCCCCGAATGTGTGCGGCAAATGGAACGCTAATGATCGAAAACAAAAATATGGTAGGCACGTTAATTCGAAGTAAATTTTCCACAAACTTACCGAGAAATAATTTTCTAATTTCTCTTTATAATATAAAATGTAATTTGGAAGGATTTGTTCTTCACAATTTCCATCTACCACGCGAATAATCCCGTGTGGCTTCACATTGCGAATGATAACCCTGACCATAGACACCATTGTCAAGCCGATCACGATTACTCGATAGATTAATCACGAGAATCCCACAAGGCAAATTAAGACCAGGTTTAATATATACGAAACATATACAATATCCTATATATATTCTAAAAATTAAAAATCTAGTGCTTATCGATCTATAATCAAATTATGATATTACAGATTGATAAAGTTTACAATTATAACATTTGGCTGTAAAATATACGTTTGAATTTATAGTCAAATTATTTTTAAACAACGATATTAAGCGCTACGTTATACAGCGATAAAATATTTTATTCTCGAGAGGTAGACTACATATCTTGAAAGCTGCGAATAAGGAATACATTTTTGGAAAAGCAAGCTTTATTAAGTTCGCTTGTGATCCCGCTCTCTAAGCTCCGGCATCTTCGAGAAGCCCCGAGCCGGCATCCGACGACGTCCTGTGACTTTGAAAATAGAAAGTCACTTTGAAAATAGGCTCTCTCCGAAATATGCGCGCCTGGCGAACCCTTCCATCGTCTCGGTTAAGAAGAAGAAGAAGAAGAAGAAGGAGAGAAAGAAGAAGCCGAAGAGGAGAAGGAGGATCGCGATGATGATGACGAGGGGGAGGGGTGGGGCGCGGAGGGTATAGACGCGGTTTTAGACTACGGACTCGACGCGTCGGCGTCGAGTTAAAAATAACAGTAACAGCGGCGGAGCCGGTCCTTGTCGACGTCTACATCGTCCACGTCGTATTTACCGCTGACTGCCATCGCCGCCGCTGTTACTGTTGCTGCTAGCTAGTAGCTTCCACCGCTAAACTGGACGGCGATATCGATGACGCTACGCGCCATTGCGACATAGCCTTGAGCGCGTTGTGCGTCGCGTATCGAGGAAGTCTAAGAGCGGAGCTGCAAAGTCGCGCCGCTTCGATTTTTTTGCAGTAATTTTAATATCTATCTTGTCGGTCATGCGGAGGATTTTTATCGCTTCTATACGAGTTGCAACATAAATTTTATCTGCTCGCTTAACGCACGCGCGGACATTATAATCATCAATCGGAGTTTTCCATTCGCTATTTCGAATCTCTCTCGAGATTCGCGCATTTGTCGCAGGACGAATTTATATAAATCTTGATGACGAATTGTCACGTTTCTGTTTCGCGAACAACTTTCGCGTCGATAAAACTGGACAAATTTGTCGGTGGTTTTTACGAAACAGAAATTATTTAGCTTGTATTTGTGTGAGTCGATATATTTGTAGATTTTCGAGCGTAAACTTGACATACGAGATCTGTCACAGGTTCTCTTCATTGCAACAGTTTCGTTTGCTTTATTATTATTATTCTCGTGAAAATGACGTTTGTCAAATTTAATCATTTATTAATTTGCGGTCTTATGCGTCGCTTGTCAAATTATTAAATTTCTTGAAGTAAAAGTTTATTTTCTATTTATTTACTTGTATTTTTATTTCTAATCTTTCCGTTAAGTTGTATAAAATTCAGGATTTTAAATTTGTCGAAGCAAAACACGGTCCGATATCCTAATTCGGGAAAAGGCTCCTCAAAGAAAAATTTGAGAAAGGACTACTACTAGCATCTAGACAACTTACTTAAATTAAATTGACATAAATTAAATATTAACACATTAGAAAATAATTTAACGGAATCATAGATTGCATATATAATGCAGATATAATCTTGTCATACTGTCTATTCGATCCAAAAAAGTCTTCAAAATTTGACATTCAATATCGATTATCAATTAAAATACCAGCTTCATTTTTCAAGCGTCTTCTTTATATATCATGTATGAAACTCTGTAGAAAGACATGCGCTGTGATCTCCACGATGATATGACGAATAACATTTGAGGACTCGGGAAGGCTTGTGATCAAAGTGTTAAATAAAAGAGTATATCGATATTATATCTATCGCGTATCTTTGTAAGGGAGCATCGCGGGTCGAGGCTTGAAATCTTGGCTGCGCGCGATCAACGGATTCTCTCTTCGTGCAACGGCGAGACGAATTTTATTTTCGTCCCGCGGTGGCGTCCCGCGACCTCGATGCCATCCCCCCACTATATCTCGCTGTTTAGCGCCGCGGCTGACACTCGTAAATCCAAAGCCACGGCGTGAGTTCGTCTCCGCGGATACTTGGATAATGCTCGGACGGTATCGAACATTATATGCGTATCGAACGGACGGCTTCAAATGAAACCGGCTCGCGAAAGTTTGCGTTTATCCGAGTATCCAACACTTGACTCGAACGCCATATTTTCCTTATGAGCGAGATTGTACGATTACATAATATATATATATATATTTTTTTTCTTTTCTCATCCCTGATATTTCCAATTTTTTAGAATATAATAAATATTTCTGACCTCGAACGCCATATTTTCCTTATGAGCGAGATTGTACGATTACATAATATATATATATATATTTTTTTTTTCTTTTCTCGTCCCTGATATTTCCAATTTTTTAGAATATAATAAATATTTCTGATATTTTCATGTTGTGTCATAAGAGGGACGCTCATCGTGAATACGCTGTCGCGCGACGTTTATTTTTTCTGACGGTCCCAGATTTTTATTTATTTCTTATATTCAATAATTGCGAAAATGCGCCGAATTTTGAACGTGCGATTTTGATCGCCTTGTTCACTTAGTTGCGCGGCGTGCCGGACTCGGCACGGCTAGGAAAATAGTCGGGACAGGATACGGGAACAGTTACCGGCGCGTCTCTCAGGGCCAGCGCGCCTCGAGGCAAGGACGGTACCGCTACGGGCAAAGATCTTCCATTGCTCTCCTCCCGCAGGAATTTATGACGCGAAAAATCTCGTTTCCTCCGCGGAAATTCTCGCTGATCGCCGATTCCTCGCACGGCTCTCACGGCCTGAACTAGCGATCGAACTTACGGATCGTCTTTAGGAAAAGCGAGAAAATAATGTTGCGGCGAGTCGTTCTCTCGGAACGGATACGATATCTATCGACGTGAGATTTACAGAGAATGGTAGCTCACGCTTCCTCCCCATTCTTTTTTCTTCTGAGGAATTGGAA